AAGTGGTAAAGGGCAAAATAGAAAACACTGAAGAAAACTGGCCTTGGAATAAGACTGATATCATGATAGCAAATGTCATGGGAGAAAATTTTACAACTAAGGACATGGTTAACTTTCTAAAAGAAGAAGTGATACATAACTTCAAAAATCGAAGTCAGATAGCAGATGGCCTGACAGGAAATGCATGAGCCTGGATGAAAACAAAAAAAGTACCAAACAATAAAAGGAACATATATTGGCGACTGCAACATAAAACCCTGCCTTTGGTTTATAGGCTCAAACATATAAGCCCAGAGAATTCAGGTGAATGCCCTTTCTGTCCCGACGTGATTCAAACCCCAGTGCATTTTGCTCTTGAATGTCGGATAAGTCAGAAAATTTGAGGGATAGCACTAAATTTGTTCAGCCTTTCGGCTAATTTTAGAATCCCAAATGATTTAATTGAAATGTTTACAGACCAATATACAGGGGACATACAATTAAGAAACTGGCTTAATATTAACGTAATATCAGAAATTTGGTACTGGTATTCTCAGGCCAAATGGGGCAACCCCATCCCGGAACCTGCCTTAGAAACGGTAACCAGGTATAGACTTAACCAAGTGGTTAAAATTATAAATATTCCAAAGAAAAAAATAGTGACAAAGAAAAATCTACTAAAGATTTATTATAAATATAGCTATGATATACAAGCTGTAAATATGTAATTTGATACGATTATTTTATAAATAAAGTGCGCCACCGGCGCCCTAGTTTACTAGGTTAAAAAAAAAAAAAAAAGAGTTGATATTTTTATAATTAACTGATTGAAATTAATTATAATTACTACATCAACTGTTGAAGTAGAGAAATTTTTAATTGAATCTATTTCTATTGATGAGAAACATTTAGATCACTCGATAAACTATACAATTTTATTGTTTATAGATAAACTGAAAGCATTGAGGCTTTTATACAAACATTTAACATACAAATTACCATAAGTCTCCAAATTATTAACTAATTCTTTAATCTTTATAATTTAAGCAAAAATTTTATATGCAAAAAACAAATATATGTTTTTAAGATAAATCGAAAATGAATAATATGTGCAAATTTCTAATTTAATATAGAGATAATTTAAAATTTCTTATTTAAATAAATATTATACATTTTACATACTTTAATATTACAAAATTTTTGTACTATCTTAAAATTAATTAATAGTTTCATTTTGAAGCAAGTCGATATTTAATTTTTTCACAAATTCAACAGCTTTAGAAAAGTTTCTTAAAGCTGCATCTTTAATATATTCAATACCTTTAGCTTTATCTTTCTCAAAATTGAGTTTTCCATTATAATATGTATCACCTAAATGCCACATTGCTGCAGAATCATCACCATTAACCGCCATGTTTAAATATTTAATAAATTCATCTCTTTTTTCATTATTTGCACGAAAATCTGCCATATTATCAGTAAGAGAAAGTGCATAACGAACTTGGGCTTTAGTATCACCCTTGTCAGCAGCTTCTTTAAATAATTGGTTTGCTAATTTATGATTTTTTTCAACAACATATCCTTCTAAATAATAATAACCTTTCCAATAGATAGCAGTTGGATTTCCAAGTTCTGCATGTTTGTTGAAACATTCCCAAGCTTTCTCTCTATTATGATCTTTGTGAGCACGGACACCATCTTCAAAAGGAATTACTGGATGAACAATAGGATTTATAGAACCTTCAGATTCTAAATAATTGTCTTCTTCTAAAGATATTTCATGAGTTGAACTACCAGAATGGGTAGAATCATATTTTTTGCATAATTTATCTAAAGTTTCAAGCATGACCTGAAAATTTGGGCGATTAATAGGATTTCCTTGCCATGCTAAATTGAAATTATGAAAAATTTATTAAACTAAATTCAATATAATCTAGCTATCAAAATAAAAGTAAATAAAAAATAGCATAAATTACCATCCGCAATAATCTGTGTAAAAATTTTAGGAACGCTGAATACATCAGGTTTATATTCAAAAACTTCTCTATCACCTTTAATTACCAACTCTCTGATAGATTGCTTAGGATTAATTTTTTCATATGGAATCTTTTGATATGCAAGTTCCCAAAGCAACATACCAAAACTATCAATTTGAAATAAATTCAATTTTAGGAATTGCATTTATATATTATCAGAATATTTTAAATTTACCTAAAGATTTCACATTTATGAGTATATGGTTCTCCTTTCATCTTTTCTGGAGCCATCCAAGGAAACATTTCAATCGGATTATCAATAAAAGTTGTTTCTTGACTCGTTTTACGACAAAGTTCGAAATTTGTTATTTTGGGTTCTAGTCTATCAGTTAACTACATACAATTTGATACCCAGTTAGTATGTTAAAAAAACTACTAATAAAATTGTAAAAATAATTACCAAAATATTTTCACAGCGGACGTCGTGGTGGAGAACACCAACGAAGCAAAGAAAATTGAGTCCGTGACAAATATCGCGCGCAATTTGAAGTTTTGATTTCCATAAAAAATGCTTTGAATTCTTTAAATTTAAATAATATTCTCTTAAATTTCCTCTATCGGCCCAATCATAAACCAAAACAGTATGACCATCCACATTCGAAATACCATGAAATTTAATAATATATCTGCATCGTTGTAATTCACTTAATATAACAAGACGACCTTGCTGTTTGTGAAACTGTAGTGAATCGGTATTTAAAGTTTCAAATGGTTTACAAGCAACATTCAATGCCATATATACTTTTTTTGTCACTTTCCCATGAGATGCACCTATTCTGGGATCTGTGATTTCTTTAGATTCAATATATGGTGCTTTAAATGTGTTCCAGACATTCTTTTTAGAATCATTATTGAGTACTTCATTTGCAATAGCAATTTTTTGTACATGTTCTGCAGTGATTTCAACACATTCTAATATTTTTTCCACATACTGAAAAAAATTACAGTAAAACGTATAAATTTAGTTGTATGGAAAAATAGATATAATTAGTATGATATATTATAATACCTGTTGCATTGTATTAAGATCTTTTTCAATTTTTCTATCTTCTTCTGCTTTATCGATCATTAAGTTAGCAATAATCGAAAATTGTAAATCATTCATCGCATCATTAAAGTCTCGCCTATGCCTATCAATATTATCTTTAATCTCAGTTGCGTTAAATAACCTTTTTCTTTGATTCATTTGAGAAATATCTAAAACAAATTTTTTTATACCACGAACAATATTACTAAATTTTACGAGTGCATCGAGAAAAGATTGTTCTTGAAACATTTTTATATTAGATTCTTTAGATGTTATTAATCTTTCAATAGAAAATTTTGCTACTCGCATACGTTCAACAAATACCAAACAAATATTTTTATTGTATTTTGCATCTTCATAAATTTTAATTATAGAATTTGCTGCGTTTAATATGATCTCAATATATGGTACAAAAGGTGTAAATATTTCAGTTATTGTTCCAACTCCAACGAAAACAGTTTGAGCAATTCCTCCAATTTGATTAGCGTCAATTTCTCCTGTAGTCTGACATTCATGACTTTTATCTTGCTTTGAATCATTCATTGTAATTATTTAAAGTATATTCAAATGTAATTACTTTATTTGAGAATAAAAATTTTTGAGTATTTATGGAGTACGTCACATACACAAATGGCAGCGGTAGTACAGATTTCTAAATCTCTTTCTTTGTGTAACCTTATGATTGCTCGGTATTCTATTCGTATCAAACAGTAACGTTGCACAACATTTAAATCGTAATTTTTTAATACGTAATAGGATAATTAAAGTATGATCGATATGATCCGAGGTGGAATGTTAGCGCTGAAACTTGGCAGTATTTCTCAGCTTGCACTATACTAAATAGATTAATTTACATCTATGATGTTATATGATACCAAAAAAAATATATTTAATATATTTTTGACAAGGTGTCATTTAGGAATATATTAGAATCTATTTGAAAATCGGTTAAAAAAAAATAGAAATAAAATAAAATAAAAGACGAAATTATATATTTTATACTGTCGAATTAATTGGATAAAAAGAAAATTACTTAATTTACACATATGTTTGTATATGGATATTAATTTTTAATTTATGTAAATCTAAATTAAAATAATTTTTATAAAAATAAAACTGATTAATATTATGTTAGGGTGAGGCCTGAAATTTTAGCAAGGTATATAGTTCATATCAAATTTGCAAGGAATTTGGTTTATTAGAAACTAAAAGGTAGTTTCTTAGGTGATATTGATCATATATGTGTATATATACACTAGTGCACAAATAATGTAGTAATTGCCAAATAAAATTTCTTTTATAATTACTTGAATTTAGGAAATTAAGAATGAATCTTACGCATCTTAATATTTAAAAAATTTATTAAATTCATTAGATAGTATCAGAATAATCTTATAAAACATATGGGCGAAAATATCTAGTTGAAACACATGATAAACGATAACAAGGTGATCAAGTTATATCAGGTTACATACGTACAGAAATTTATAAGTAATAAAGTACATATCAATATGAATAAAATTTATAATTAGGTCACAATTGGGTACATACGTACAAAATTTATAAGTAATCAGATTACAATTAGGTACAAATTTATAAGTAAAGTTCATAAGTAATTAGCAAGCAATTTTTTATCAGACTTAAAATTTCTGATCAAAAATTCACTTTTATTCTAATATAACGTTCAAATACTTTTCATTAATTCAACTATTAATAATTAATCTAAAAATACTCTATCAAATTTCTTAAATACTATATCACATAAATAATTGGCTCAAATTTTATTTAATCTAATCACTCACATTAAATCATTACAAAATTAGAAATTTTCACTCATATGAATTTAAGTAAATAACAATTGCAGAATTTAAAACTTCAAATTAAAATACTTATTTGGCTTTTAATTTTTGATTATAAAAATTTTATATGTTTATTATTTAGAAAATATTAAAAAATATATATAATTTTTTTTAATTTTTAAAAAAACCTACTCAGAAGTATTCATATTAATAACTTATAAAATTTTTTCTCAAAAATTTACAAAAGCTGACCTGATCAGATTATGAAAAACAACTAATTAACTTTATATAGCTTTAATAATAATAGATTTTATCACTTTGTATTATGATATAAAATACAATAAACTTGAGTTTAGTTAACTAAAGATGATTTGCAAAATGTGATCATAAATTGCATGATGAATAACTTATTTATTTATCAATTTATTTATTTTTTATAATAAATAATGAGTTCTTAAACTTATAAATTAATTACTCAGCATACAAGAAAAATCTTCACAAAAATTCTAACTAACAGACTTATTCTAATAATTACTAGATATAAAATTCTATCTTTACAAAACTTTGTAACATTCTTTCATCAATTAACTCTTTAGCTTGTCTCTCAACTAACAAATATTATTGAACATTCTATTACAGAAAAAAAAGAGATCTGACTACTTCTACAAGATATGTTGAAAGTTTTTAACTCCATTTATCTGCTAACACTTTATAAAGCATTAAAAAGGATATACATACCAAAAGACTTTATTCAACTTCTAATATTACTTCTATCAAATAAAAAAACAGAGTTATAACTACTATAGGTTTTACAAAGTATTACTATATTAAAGATAGAATAGACTAAGAAGAAACCTTTCTCCTCTTCTCTGGAAAATCTATTATGACCCTTTAATCGCTCGAATATATAAAGAATTTTGAAGATACCAAGAGCACCTAAATATACAGTAACAGTTCAAGATAATTTATAGTTTCATAATAGCATATATAGATAACTTACTCTGAATTGCACCTGATAAAAAGACTTTTACAGATATTCTACAAGTAGCTAACTTATTTTATAAACTTAATAATATTTATATTAATCTATTCAAATCTATTTTAGCTACTAATTTAGAAGTATCTGACAAAACTATTACCTTCACTAATAATACAATAAGAGCAATAGAAAAAAGAACATCTTTTAAATACCTAAGGGCATGGTTCTCTTTTAATAAACAACCAAACACAATCTAAAAAATCATCTCTGATAAAATGATACTTAATTTAAAAAAGCTACAAATAGTACAAATAACTGAAAAGCAAGCTATATATATCATAAATAGTATACTACTCCCATGACTCTAATACAGATAATACTCTTCTTTTCTTTTAACAAATCAGTTAACTTATATACAAAAATCTATATGAATATAGTCAAACATAAAGCAAAGTTAGCATGTAGTATCCCTAACTTATTTTTTGTTTTATTCAGATATATATATACTAAAGAATCTGACACAAGTCCAAATTACTACATTTGCTACTACTATATTAAAAAATCTAAACAACAAAAACTTTGATACCTCCTTCTTTAAGATATGATTACAATAACTATAAGATTTAGCACAAACAAATACCTTAATTATAAACACAATTTCTGTATTCTTATATAGGCAAGATAATACATATACAGTATAAGCAATTATAGCAATTCACTTTTCTAATCTTATAATAACTTGATACTGTGGCAACTAGCTAATTCTAAAAAAATTAATAGGTATCTCAATCAATTCGATTCTTGTAGAACAAAAAAATTAATCTTCTCTAAAATAAAAACTTAACAATCTAGAAATCAATTGTATAGAACAACTTCTTGATTACAAAAATCTTGAATTTCTAAACTGAACTGAAATACACAAAGATTCCACATAGCAAAACTTCCAAATAGTTATTAACTATACAAGAAATCATAGCTTTAAGTGCAAATATATTTACACAAATGATACATCCAAATCCTTTTACTATTGCTTCTTAGACTCTAATAAAAAAAGAATAGATTATAACAAGAGACAGAAATATTAGAAGAATCTTTAATATCTCTAACACAAAATTATGAATTAAATACTATATTTTATCACTGCAGAATATACTAAAAACATATTCTGGATACTATCTAAAATGTGCAACTTTCCAAACCAAGAAATGCTATTTTACAGCAACTGCAAATACAATCTATAATATACAAGTAGATAGCAAATATAGAATTCATGCCAAATTAGATAATATATAAAAGCTCTTAAAATATAACATATATTAGCACAAATAATTCACAAATTCAACTCAGAAACTTTTTTATGACTATTTAATGCATTTGATCACTCACTAAATATATTATAGAATTCACTTACAAAGTCAAATATATCAGAGAAAAATATTGAAATTCACCTTATATATATAACAGAAAAAAGTACAGAAAATAGTACTATTTTAGCTAAATGCTATCTTCCTAAACTTAGTCTAATACTCAAATGCTATAATACTTACTAGCTATTATACACAAATACACAACTAACTTTACTAACTTTTGTAATATCTACTCTAGCTCCACAAATACATATTACTCTATTTACAAATAATAACATATTTGCTAATTTGATAACTAAGTACAATTAGATTTTATTACACAATTTTACTTATTTCGACAAATAATACTTTATTTACCTACTGCTTTTACTAAGAGCTATATCAGATTATATGACAATAGAAGTATAGCTGAACAAAGATATAACAATAGATAGTAAATCAGACTACAAGTTTTTCTTAAATATTACTTCACAAAACTTCTTACACAACTAATTCATTTCTCTTCTTTTATCAATATACAGTCCATATCTGCTTAAAACAACTTTAAAATATACTACAAAAATTACAAATCATCTAATCTAGATAAATCAACAATATATATCATATCTAGTTGAAACTATTTCAGATATACTGTGAACAGATATACTAAACTATATATCATTTGGTAATAAACTTCTCATACTCTACACTAACTCAATACTTTCTATATTAAAAAACTTTAAAATAAAACTCATAGTAGAAGAACTTTCAGTTTATCTAAACCTTTATATTCAAAATCCATCAGAGCATAAAAACTATCTCTGTTCTCATTATTAATTAAACTAAGAAAACTTCACTTATATACTTATATATATACAAAATCATATAAGATTTGAAATATTCCTAAAAAATACACTTCACAAATATGTAAGAGAAAACAAAATAGATATACATACCTTTATAAATACATACAAATACTTGCACTATATATTAAAAGTACTAATAGGAATTATTATGAGTAGAACAACTGCTCTAGTAGAACAAAAATATAAAAAGATATACACTGTATCTCTATACTATTATATTACCAAATCTATATATGAAGAATTCTGAATTCTATCTCAGAAAATATTATATAAACTAGCTTTCTCTACTCCACCCCCTTTAAATTTAATTTTGTAACAAAAACAAAAAACATTAGTTATACTACAATTATAACTAAATTACAAAAACTAGTTAAATCAGAACAATTATTCCTCTTATATATTATTAAAGACTAGAAGTTTATAATCTTTCTAGTAATAGCTTAGATTGAGAGTAAATTAGCTCTTACTTTTATCTCTCTTTAGTATAGATTTCTGTATAATATATTTACTTTTATACCAAATTTATTATAATAATAAAGAGATAGAGAATAAACTTTACTTTAAAAAAAAAAATAAAATAAAATAAAATAATTATTCAAGCTGTATCATAAGTTTATGAATAACTAATATAAGTCATCTAGGTAGCAAGGGTTATGACCTAGTTAATGAGTGGTATACAGATTATCTGAGTAACTCTTAACAAGTACAATCTCTACTAATAAGTAACATAATACTTAAAATACTTAAAGATCTAAAAGATATATTATTTATAATTAATATATTAATTATTAAAGATCTAATTATATATATACTAGAACAGAGTTTGTACAATATATAATGTAGTATATAGTTTATAGACAAGTTAATATGCTATACAATTCTTAGTATTTGATTAGTCTATATAACTCTATTCATCATATATTATTATGTATTGCTTATTTTTTGTATATCTTTTTATACCTTATACTAGTAGTATAACTATTGTATCTGTATTTATATATTGTGAAATGTGAAAGTTACTCCAAAGACACGTAAGAGTCAGAAGCTAATATGCTGCAGTATCTGCATATGGGTATGCAGATCTCTAACTCTTAATAGACTTCCTGGGGATAAAAGAGCTAAAACTCTTTTCAGTAATAAAAGATATAAGGAGTTTTAGTAAGTTAAAGAGATTAAAGGAGGAAAGGAGGTATAAGGGATTAAAGGATTTTATTAATTTTAGTAGTTTTAGGATATTTAGGGCATTAAAGTATTAAAATAAGTTTAAGTATTATAAGATGTAAAAGAGTTATATGAAACATAGTACTGTAAATTGTATATATTCAGAGCATAATCGCTTGTAATAAAGGATAACTCTTGGTAGTTTTGCTCATAAAATAAATCGAAATCTTTATTAAAACAATAATTAATTTCTCAAACATAATCCCTGAATATATAATAATTTTGCTAAACTAACCCCTCTATAACCTCGCCTTCGTTAAATTGACATACTGTATATTTACTGTTGTTTTGTCTATGTGATACTCCCCTGTAAATTGTCTGGTTATTCTTAACGTACTAAGATTAATCGTGGTTTTCAATTCCAACTAACCCAACGTATTGTGGTTGGTTGTAGTTATATTTTTTTTTATGTCCAACTAGCCTGACATATTGTAGTTAGTTGTGGTTATAATTTTTTTTCTTTGTTGGTTCCAGTTATCCAACAAACTGTGGTAACTGTGATTTTATATATCTGAATACCCAATGAACTGTGGTATTCATCCTTTAAGATTAAGAATAATCACTTACTCATGAGCCCTAACTACTGTTTAAATCTAAACACCCTCTTTCGATAAGCTATTCGTGGGTTGTATAGAGTTTTCCATAGCTGAGCACCTAACTCACTGTATAAATCTCTCATTTCATTTGGTGGTGACTGTGAGATACAATATGTCACTACCCCCCTCCTCACTTCCCCTCCTGTCCTAATTCAAAAATCGTATTAATAAAAACAAAAGAGTAAATTAAAAGAAACTTACCTTAGATTTAAATATAAATTAAAACTCAATAGATACACTGGAAAGAATCCTTGCCCAATTTAATTCACCCATAATGAATTCAGCCCAACTTAAAGAATTAATAGAAAATATGACTAAGTCATTCGAAAATATAGCTAAGGATATAGCCCAAGGCAATAGGTCTGGTTCAAAAGAGTCTAATCATATCAAGGTCTAGAGTTATTATGGTACTGACGATGAAGACCTAATTGAGTAGTTTGATGATTTTGATAGGGCCACAGAGGCCAATAATTGGCTAGATTAATGCAAATTAAAGATTGCTCTAGTTACCTAAGAGGTTTAGCAGCTGAATAGTTTAAAGACAATAAGTCAATCATAAACTATTGGAAAAATGAACACTGCAGAGACCAAAGCTTCTATCATTTACTGGTCTCTTTCTTTGCTATGCCTGAAAAACAACACAAGTGGCATATAGAATTAAATACCTTAACTCAACAGCAAGGGGAAAAAGTAGATGCCTACGTAACTAAATTTAAGAAGTTATTATGTCGAGTAGACCCTGGTAACTCCCTACCTGCTGCTTACGTAGTGAGGATGTTCCTGAGTGGTTTAAAAGAAAAATCAGCCACATTTGTCTCAGTAACATCCCCCACCACCCTAACCGAAGCTATCACTGCCACCAGAAAGGTTAAAGCCAGTAATTATTACAGCAATAACCATAAAGACACTCAGGCTAATAACTGCAAAGATGAAATTATAGAGACCTTGGCTAAGCAGGTCTAACAACTAACCACCAGCTATACAGTCTTGATAGAAAAACAACCTAAAGAAAAAGAATGAAACACAAAAAAGTGGAACAACAAAAGGAATCAAGAGAGACAAAAAGAAACTTGCGAAATGAAAAAAGATACAATTTGTTATCGATATGGCAAACTGGGCCATATCAGTCATTATTGCCTGTTTGAAAAGAAACCCAGACAAGAAATGGAACAAAAGAGAACCAGTAACTACATAGGAATAAATAATAATTATATTAGTGATGATGACAGATAGGAAGAAGAGGTCTATGTATTAAATGAAAATAATGAAAATAATGATACCAGGAAAAGACCTCTAGTACAATCAGAGTCTAAATAGAAAAATTAGTTGAGGCGTAGAGTAGATGATCAGGAACTCTGGTTAATAACAGTAGATGATTCTAAAGATATAATGAACGAGGATATATTTGGATCAGCAAGTAGACTCCATTATAAATGTGAGCCCTCAATAGTAAATAAACTCCTTCTTATAATATTGCGGAAGATCTGTTAAATACAAAGGCAAACGTTACTTATGGGTAATTACTCCAATACCTTAATCAAAGAAGGAACTTGGCGGATACCCTAAGGAGAAAGTTACCTCAGGTCCAAGAAGCTATCCACATAAAATTCAATAACAAAAAAAGGACTATAGCTACTAAATATTATGTCTATATAAGTGGTAATCTGGTAGTCGCTGTATCAGATTTGGGAGCAGAGATTAGCATAATGACCAAAAAGTTAATAGATAAACTTAGTCTCCAGATCCAAGAAAAATCTTCAACTATGGTAGTAACAGCAACTAGAGCAAAAACTAGGGCTTTAGGTAAAATAAATAACGTAAGAATCATAATTTAGGATATTATAATCTCTACTACCCTACAAGTCATAGAGTCGTCAGATGAGACTCTGTTACTGGGAACTGACTGGTTCCAAAAAGCCTAGACCAGGTTGCATTTCGATGAACAAAAATTAATCATAACCTATCAAAGTAAAACTGTTGAAATCTCTATAACAAATAAAAGTAAATACATACCCAAAATAAAAGAAAACTGGGATGAAAAAAGTGAAGATATCTTTGATGAATTTATGTATGAGGATAAAATATTAGATGAAATCGAGGAATATTACATTAAAGAGTCCTTAGACAAAGATAATAACCTATACAATAATCTCTGGAAGGATGCAGTTAGCAGCCCAGCCATTTACCTAACAAATGCTGAAGATATACCCAATCAAGAGAAAGAAAATAAAGAACTTACTACAAATGAACATATAAAAGCTCTGGTCCAAGAAGAAACGTTAAGCGAAAAAGAAAAAGAAAGGCCAAGACTTCTTTAGAGAAAAAGATCATTTATTCACAGATAATATAAAGAAACTCGAAGAAACAAAAGTAGTTACCCACTGAATAAACACAGAAGACGCCAAACCTATTAAGCAAAATTATTATAGAATTTCTCCAACGAACAGGAGTTTATAGATAAAGAAGTTAGGTCTCTAATGTCTCAAGGATTAGAACAAAATTCATAAAGTCCATGGTCCTCATCTATAGTTTACGTTCCTAAGAAGAGCAGTAAATTGCAAATGTGTATTGATTACCGGTGCCTAAATAACATCACAAAGAAGGATGCCTATCCCCTTCCTCGCATTGACGATCTAATAGAAAAATTTGGTGCAGCCAAGTGGTTTTCCAACCTAGATCACAAGAATAGTTATTGGCAAGTTAGAGTAAATAAGGAAGACCAAGTGAAAACTGCATTTGTAACTTGAAATAGTTTATACGAGTTTAGAGTTATGCTATTCGGGTTATGTAAGCATCTGCTACCTTCCAGTGCCTCATAGATAAGGTCCTAGCAGAATACTTTGGTAAATTTGTCATGGTATATATAGATAATATAAATATCTATTCGAATACCTTTAATAACTATTTAACTCACCTGGATAAGGTATTTAATAAGTTAGATAGAGCTAGTCTTAAAATAAATTTAGAAAAATGTAGATTCTTCAAACTCAACATCTATTTTCTCAGTCATATCATAGGATATGATGATATTCAACCAGACAAGTCTAAAGTAGAAAAAGTAAAGACTTATCTAGTTCCAAGAACCCTTAGGCAGTTAAGAGCCTTCATAGAATTGGTTTCTTACTACCGAAGTTTCATTAAAGACTTCGCAACAATCGCCTGGCCTCTATATAAATTGTTAAAGAAAGATGTTAATTATGAATAGGGCGAAGACCAGCAGAAAGCATTCACAAGATTAAAAGAATACTTAACATTCTCACCAATTCTCCAATATCCTGACTTCAATAAGACCTTCTAATTACATACCGATGCTTCCAGTACAGATTTGAGTGCAGTGTTATCACAAAAAGGGAAAGGGAATAAGGAATATGTTGTTTTGTATATGAGTAGGAGTCTGTCTAAAGCAGAAAGGAATTATTCTGCTATGGAATTGGAGTATCTCGTGGTCTTGTGGGCTGTTGAGTATTATAGGCATTATTTCAGATTTAGCCATTTTGTGGTATTAATGGACTACTTAGTATTAAAGTGGTTACACACCTCTAAACTCTCAGGTAAAAGAGCGAGATGGATACTTAGGATGCAGCCCTATAATTATACTATTGAGCATAGAGCTAGTAAAATCCATAATAATGCAGATGCGTTGTCCTGAATACCAGAACCTAAAAATAAAGAAGCTAAGTTACCAGAAGAAACAATGAAAAAAGAGAAAGAAATAATAAACTTGGAATGGCTAAAATCACTGGAAGACTATAATGAATATAACGACTACTGGGGAGAAAAAAAATTAGATAAGTATGAAGATTGGATTGAAAATGGACTAATATATGAGGAAGACTCTAATGAAGATAACGATGAACCTAATTTCATCCCGAATAATCTTGGTGCAGGAGAAGCTTGATGAAATCAAAATGAAAATAAAGATCAAAAAGAATATTTTAGGTGAGAAAAAGAATTAAAGGAATTAATAAAGACACTTACTATCAAATCTAATAAAGAACATATCTGGTCAGAAGCAAACAATTATCAAGAACTACTTGAACTAAAATATAAAATAGAAAAAGGAAAAGTTAGTTTAGACGAATGCTATAGAATAAACTTACTAATTTTTGAAAAACATGAGTTTGAACTCTTTACCATAGACAACCACTGGCACTAATCTACATAATACAAAGTTTATAGAAACAAAAAAAATAAAAAAAAATAAAAAAAAAAAAAAAAAGAGAGAAGCTAAAGGACAAAGAAAACAGAGTAAAGAAAAACATACTTAAATCTGACGATAAATAACATCTAGCCCAGATTGTTGGTGTCCTTGCAAAACCCTAAAGATAGAAGCAAACTGGTATCACGTGCTAAAGAATTATGTAGAAAAACAAGAACTACTTTTGGACCTAAATTCACAACAAGAAAGAAAATTGATTAAAAGTAGAAATAATATGATGCTTAAATATGGAAATCTATATCTGAAAGACAAAAGAAACCCTAGCTGATAGTTAAAAGTTATTCAAAAACATGAACTTGAAATTATACTTACGATGATACATGACCACCCACTAGGAGGACACTTCAGAGCAGAAGCTATGCATCATAAGATTTGACAAAGATATTATTAGCCCAAGATGTTCAATAATATAAAAGAATATATTAGAACGTATAATGATTGTCAAAGAAGGGGCAAGAATAAAACAAGAGAGCCTCTCTACCCAATTCCAGTAACAGCATCCTTCTATCAAGTAGGTATAGACATAATAGGCTCGTTACCAATAACTTCTAGGAATAATAGTTACATAGTAGTGGCTTCAGATTACATAACTAAATAGCCTGAGGCTAAGGCTATTCAATATGCAAATGCATAAGAAGTGGCAAATTTTATATTCGATGATGTGATCTGTCGCCATAGTTGCCTAGAAAAATTGTTGTCAGATTGGAGTACACATTTTCATAACTAGTTAGTAGACCAGTTATTAGACAAGTTTTGTATTAAATACCTATTATCTACACTATATCATCTCCAAACAAGTGGGCTAGTAGAACGGTTTAATAAAACACTATGTAAGGCTATTGCTAAATCAGTAGAGACCATTACTGATTGGGACCTAATAATATCTGCTATTCTGTTTGCTTACTGGACAACAAGACACTTGACTACAAGAATCACGCTATTCTTTCTAATGCATGATAGAGAAGCAAGATTACCTATAGAAACAAGTAGGATAAGAGAAGTGATTAATGAAACAATAATACAAAGAACAATAGAGTTAATTGAAAACTTACTGCAAGTTCAGCATAATGCAGTTACACAGATCCAGCAAGCACAGATTAAAATGAAAGAACAGTATGACAAGCAAATCAAGAAATGTATAAATTTGGAAATAGGTAATAAGGTTCTAGTATACTGTGCCTCGTTAGAGTATAACAAAAGTGTCAAACTAGAGTCGAAATGTAAAGGTTTTTTTTATATTCATGAAGTCCTCCCTAAAAACGTCTTTAAATTACAAACTATAAAGGGAAAGATCATTGCATCTCTCATAAATGTCAAGTTGTTAAAAGCATATTACGATCGGGCTGATATCTAAAATGGAAATTAATTCAATTAATAAAAAAAAAAAAAAAAAAAAAACAAAAAAAAAAAAAAAAAATTTTTTTTATTAAAATTTTTATAATAGCAAAGAGTAGAAAAGAGAAAAGAGAAAAAGGTATAAAAATAATACCTAACTGTGAGAGAAAAAATTAATCATTTTTTTTAACAATGATTTTAGACGAGATCATTATTGACCTTACTTTGCCTGTGCCTCCTGATATTATTGTCACTCCACCACCATTCGATATATCACATGACCTTGTGACCTCAGTAACCTGGACTTTCCTTGTATTATCTTAGGCTATAAGACTAAAGGATAGGATCAAAACTCTAGTTTAAGTATACTACCTAAGTATGCTCTTCGCTAACACAACTCTTGAACAGAGAGCCTAAATGCGAAAAATCGTAACCCGCTACTACTACCTAATGGCTATAAGAGTATATGATATTTTCTCCACTCGTGATTTGGGTCAAATATATAGAACCAAGAAAATAACCTTTTATGATATTAAGAGGTTAACAAATGACCAAATGCATCAACTCCTTTAGTTCATAGTACTCACCTTAAGTAGGGGAGAAATATGAAACGTAAAAGTTACTCTGGAGACATGTGAGGGTCAGAGGCTAATGTGTGTAGTATCTGCATATGGGCATACAGATCTCTAACCCTTAATAGACTTCCTAGAGATAAAAGAGCTAAAACTCTTTTCAGTAATAAAAGATATAAGGGAGTTTTAGTAAGTTAAAGAGATTAAAGGAGGAAAGGAGATATAAGGGATTAAAGGATTTTATTAATTTTAGTAGTTTTAGGACATTTAGAGCATTAAAGTATTAAAATAAGTTTAAGTATTATAAGATGTAAAAGAGTTATATGAAACATAGTGCTGTAAATTGTATATATTCAGAGCGTAATCACTCGTAATAAAGGATAACTCTTAGTAGTTTTGCTCATTAAATAAATTGAAAACTTTATTAAAAATATTATTAATTCCTATTATATAAAACCCCGAATACATAATACCTTCGCTCAACTAACCCTCTCCTGATATCCTGTTTTCGTTAAATTGATACACAGGACATTTGCTATTGTCTTGTCTACATGATACCCCCCCTGTAAATTGTCTGGTTATTCTTAACATACTAAGATTAACTGTGGTCTCTGTATCCAACTAGCCTGATGTATTGTGGTTAGTTGTAGTTATATTTTTATTGATTCCAACTGACCCAACGTACTGAGGTTAGTTGTGGTTATTTTTATTTTGGTTCCAGTTACCCAACGAACTGTGGTAACTGTGGTTTTGCCTATTGGAATACCTGATGCACTGTGGTATTCATTCTTTAAGAATTAGAATAATTACAGACCTATTAGCACAAACCCACTGACCAAATCTAAACTCCTTTTTCGACTAGGCTATTCGTAGGTTATAGAGAGTTTTTGAAGCAAAGAGACTGACTCGCTATATAAATTCCCTTGTTTCATTTGGTAGTAACTGTGAGATACGTAAAACTAAGTATATAAGTAAAGAAGTCATGAAAAATTAGGAATTTAAAAAAAAAAATGTATTACCAGGAAATACCTCGGGATATACAATCTCTAGAAAAAGAATGTGTTGAGCTCTTTGCAACCCTTAATGAAAAACAAGCCACTGAGGTCCAAGAAATCATCAATCTAGCCTTCAGAAACCATATCCTAAATGCAAAAGAAGTTCTCTATGCTCTTGAATTCTTACTGGATGTAATAAAAGAAGTTAGTATTAATAGTGAATCAGAAGAGGAAAAAATTGTGCATTTACCTCCTTACATCTGAATAAACATCGCCCCTAAGAACCAAAGAAGCCCACTATCAGTAACACCTCCCCCAAAGATTCGTTTAACTAAACTCTGCCAAGAAATAGTAGTAACGGTTACCAAAGTCCTCGACAAATACTTGGAGGTTTCAGAAACCCAGGAAGAAATTGACATTAAAGAACTTCTCAGGGAATAAACAACTGAATGTAACGATATTGCAAAGAACTGGTCTCTCCAAAAAGAAGAGTCTATCGAAACTGGACTTGAAAAAGATGAATTTCAGACATTGACTTGGTATAGAAAATCAGCGAATGAGGGAAATTCGAATAGAATTTATCAAGTTGGAGTTTGTTATGACTTAGGAATTGGAGTTGAAACTAATAAACAAAAGGCATTTGAACACTACAAAAGTTCTGCTAAGGCAGGCAATTCAAAAGGATTCTCTAGGATAATTGAGTTATCTGATGAAATGGGTCATACAGATAGAATAAACAACTTTGGAGATTGTTATCAAAACGAAATGGGAGTGGAAAAAAATAAACTGCTCATAAGTCCTCAGCCTTCTGAACTTTGTACTCCAAATGAATTCGAAGCTGAGAAGGACCTATCAAATGAAAGATGACCTGTTCTAGACCAAGACCTTAAAAAAATCTGTGACAAGTAGATAAAACGGGTTAGTGAGTTCCAAAAAATAGAGCAAAATTATCAAATCGTGATGCCTGAAAAAAAGAAAAACAGTACCTGAGTAGTATGACAAAACCTAAAACCACACCCGGCCTTGTTAAATCAAAAGCGAGAATCCTTGGCCGCGAAAATAATGAGGAAAAGAAAGCCTCGGAGGATAGACCTTAAAATAAAAAGATCAGATTAAAATTAGTAACAAAAAGATTTCTATACCTGAAAGCCTCCCGATGTGTAACACTATGCTGATTAAGCTTCAAGATCTTTGAGCCCGAAGGAAAATAATAATTAAAAAAAAAAAAAAAATCAAAAGAGATAGAATCTAAACTTTGGTTCATACTACTTAGTTCGTGGTACTCACCTTAAGTGGGGAAGAAATGTGAAACGTAGAAATTACTTCAGAAGACACATGAGGGTCAGAGGTCAGAGTGCTGCAGTATTTGCATGCAGGCATGCAGATCTCTAACCTTTAATAGACTTCCCAGGAATAAAAGAGCTAAAACTCTTTTTGGTAATAAAAGATATAAGGGAGTTTTAGTAAGTTAAAGAGATTAAAGGAGGAAAGGAGGTATAAGGGATTAAAGGATTTTATTAATTTTAGTAGTTTTAGGACATTTAGGGCATTAAAGTATTAAAATAAGTTTAAGTATTATAAGATGTAAAAGAGTTATATGAAACATAGTGCTGTAAATTGTATATATTCAGAGCATAATCACTCGTAATAAAGGATAACTCATAGTAGTTTCGCTCATTAAATAAATTGAAAACATTATTAAAAATATTATTGATTCCTATTACATAAAACCCCGAATACATAATACCTTTGCTCAACTAACCTCTCCCCTCCGATATCCCATTTTCATTAAATTGATACACAGGACGTCTGCTGTTGTCTTGTCCACATGATACCCCCCCGTAAATTGTCCAGTTATTCTTGACGTACTAAGATTAATCGTGGTCTCTGTATCCAACTAGCCCAATGTATTGTGGTTAATTGTGGTTATATTTTTAATGATTCCAACTGACCCAACATACTGAGTTTGGTTGTAGTTATTTTTATTTTGGTTTCAGTTACCCAACAAACTGTAGTAACTGTGGTTTTGCCTATTGAATACCAGATGCACTGTGGTATTCATCCTTTAAGAATTAGAATAATTACAGACCTACAAGCACAAACCCACTGACCAAATCTAAACTCCTCTTTTGACTAGGCCATTCGTAGGTTATAGAGAGTTTTTGAAGCCAAGAGACTAACTCGCTATATAAATTCCCTTGTTTTATTTGGTGGTGACTATGAGATATGTAACACTAAGTGTATAAGTAAAGGAGTCATGAAAAATTAGGAATTTAAAAAAAAAAAAATGTATTACCAGGAAATATCTCGGGATATACAATCTCTAGAAAAAGAATACATTGAGCTTTTTGCAACCCTTAATGAAAAACAAGCCACTGAGGTCTAAGAAATTATTAATCTAGCCTTCAGAAACCACATACTAAATGCAAAAAAAGTCCTCTACGCTCTTGAATTCTTGCTAGATGTAATAAAAGAAGTCAGTATTAATAGTGAATCAGAAGAGGAAAAAATTGTGCACCTACCTCCTTACATCCGAATAAATGTCACCTCTAAGAACCAAAGAAGCCTACTATCAGTAACACCTCCCTCAAAGATTTGTTTAACTAAACCCTGCCAAGAAATAGTAGTAACGATTACTGAAATTCTCGACGAATACTTGAAGGTTTCAGAAACCCAGGAAGAAATTGACATAAAAGAACTTCTCAAGGAATTAACAACTGAATGTAACGATATCGCAAAGAACTGGTCTCTCCAAAAAGAAGAGTCTATCAAAACTGAACTTGAAAAAGATGAACTTCAGGCATTGACTTGGTATAGAAAATCAGTGAATGAGGAAAATTCAAATGGAATTTATCAAGTTGGAGTTTGTTATGACTTAGGAATTGGAGTTGAAACCGATAAACAAAAGGCATTTGAATACTACAAAAGTTCTGCTAAGGCAGGCAATTCAAAAGGATTCTCTAGAATAATTGAGTTATTTGATGAAATAGGTTGTACAGATGGAATAAACAACTTTGGAGGTTGTTATCAAAATGAAATGGGAGTGGAAAAAAATGAACTGCCTGTAAGTTTTCAGCCTTCTGAACTTTGTACTCCAAATGAATTCAAAGCTGAGAAGGACTGATTAAACAAAGGATGACCTGTTCTAGACCAAGACCTTAAAAAAACCTGTGACGAGTGGATAAAACTGGTTAGTGAGTTCTGAAAAATGGAGCAAAATAATCAAATCGTGATGCCCAAAGAAAAAGAAAAACAGTACCTGAGTGGCATGACAAAACCTGAAACCACACCCGGCCTTGTTAAATCAAAAGCGAGAATCCTTAGCCACGAAAATAATGAGGAAAGGAAAGCCTCGGAAGGGTTATGTCTCATTTAACTGACAGCCATTTCACAGAAAATAAAAAATTGGCCAGCACTAACCTAATTCTAACCCTAAATCAGGCTAATATGTCGGTGAAATGACCTGTCAGTAAAATGACTTTCAAGAGGTTGAGTTACAATGCTCAGAGGATGGACCTAAAAATAAAAAGATCAGATTAAAATTAGTAACAAAAAGATCTCCAAACCTGAAAGCCTCCCGATGTGTGACTCTATGCCGATTAAGCTCCAAGATCTTTGACCCTGGAGGAAAATAATAATTAAAAAAAAAAAAAAAAATCAAAAGGGATAGGATCTAAACTTTGGTTCATACTACCTAGTTCGTGGTACTCACTTTAAGTGGGGGAGAAATGTGAAACGTGGAAATTACTCCGGAAGA